GATCCGGTCGCTTAAATTTTTTGGATCCAAACACAATGACAAGTCAGTTTAGATAGTATAGTCAAGGAGGGTTTTGTTGTTTTTTATCTATTTTCTAAATACATTTGATTTCTTCGTTGTATAAAACGAACAAAACTTTAAAAAAATTCAAAATAAATTATATGGATCAAGGTTTCCTTCAGACCTGGACCCGATCCGGACCCGTGCGGGTCCGGGTCCTACCCGACGGGTCTACTCCACAGGCAAGTAACATTATACCATATGATTTTTGCGTGTCATTTGCCAATGGAAAAAATTTCCAATCAATACCGCGGTCAACCGCGTTTTTTCGTAATGATCGCAGTTTGGTCCTTGAGAACCGCGGCAAGGTAAAGGATAGCGCGGTTTGTCACACCGCAGATACAACTCACTGTGGGATACTAAAACAAGATCGTGACATTCCCACCGCCAAAAATCGCAGTTTCAAAAAAACTTCGGTATGACCGAAATGCTTCGCAGAATTTCAAACCGTCACTTTTCACGGTTTTATATTTCTCGAAATCGTTCTCACAGATCGTAAGCTTTAAATATCTGTGAAAGTCATTACTAGCTGATCCACACCCACACCCACACCCTCATTAATTCGACAATGGTTTCACATTGAATGAACGTAAAGTCAAACAGACTTCAATTCAACTTTCCTTTTTGAAGTTTGTTGGTTTTATACTTTCAGAAATACATAGACCAGCTCTGGCGCTCTCTCAAATACGGAACTTATGTTGACGTACCGGTTTGAGTAGAAGGTACACCATGTTTGTTCAGTGTATATACTATCAATGGAATGAGTATGTAAGCTAGAGATGGATATGTCTCCAATGAAAGACAAACCTAACTCTTGCTTCTTTTCTGTTTCAGCAGTCTTTCAAGATGGACGAGTATGAAAGTTTATATAAGCACATCTACACGTTACAATTATACAGTTTACTTAGGTAGTTTCATGCCGATATACACAACAACGAGAATGATAGATCAGTTAGATGTTCACAATTAGAATGATGAGATGATGATATAAAAGACATGGAAAAAGTCGTATGATGGGACTAAAGAGTATTCAGAAATAGAGATTTTATTATTAGAGATTTTTAAATCAATCATAGCGTATATAATATATAATAATTAGTGGGGATACATGATTTTATCATTCAAATTCAAGGATAAAAGGGATATGAAATGTTTAGATGCCTTAAAACTGATTCATTATCAACCAAATTTCATTTAAAATAATTAGATATATCATTGATCGATGCTTGCTTCATGTAATCCAATTTGATAACTGAATAGATTATACGAACAAACCAGAAACAAGCAAGAAAACCGATTGCACCTAAATAAAATTTAATTAAATAGATTATACAAAAATATTTAACTTACCGGTAAATAAAAATAAAATAAATGTTAGCATTAATGTATAACCAAAATAAAGAAATGTTGATACTCCATCAGATATTTCTAATTTAGTCACAAAATAAAAACCTGAATAGAGAAAGAAATAGACAGCCGTAGAACCCGATGTTAAAAATGAACGCCACCACCAATTATAATCCTATAAAAATCAAAAATTTAAGTTTTTTTTTTTTTATCAAATAAAATCAAATTTTACCTCAGTACATAAATGAAAATAGCAAAGAAAAATTGTTGTTTCCGAACATGTAATTATAAGAATTATATATACGACAAGTAAAAATCCAAAATAATGATAATATTGATGAACCCTAAATTCATCTATATACATCTAATAAATATCAAAAAAAAAAAAAAAAAATATTTACCAAATACTGTTTAAGATGAAAAACAGTTGAATCATAATACAACCAAATGAAAAAATACCATTCGCTAAGATACTTAATAATGGTTTAGTGTAAAAAGGCTGTTCAGGTACTTGTCGTCGAACTTGATTAATTGGAACAGGATTTTTATAAACCTTAATTTTAAGAGAAATCAGATCAAAAAACATATTTTTCATTCTTACTGAACGTTTGAAACCAAGATAAGCTCCAATGAATATTAATGGTGTTGATATGCAGAGCCAAAGAGCAAGTAATGCTAAAAATGTAGTACATGGAATAGTTGCTGAACTAACATTTAGCCAAAGAACAAGATTTAAAACAAACAAAATGACAAAAATTAAGCTGAAATAAATAAAGAAATAATTTTGTTTTTTAGAAAAAAACCAAACGATTTAAATGTTACCTTGGACATGTAATAGCTGTTGTTAGAGCAATTTTCTTCCAATTTGTACCGCCAAACACTATGAAAGATGAATTAGTCATTTATGATAAATATTGTCTCCTACTTTTATATAAACGAGCTGAAGTATAACCAGCTGGAATGCCCAAAAGAACATAACATAGGATAAGACCTTAATGATTCAAATGAAATAGACAGGAAGAAAACGAATGAAATAAAATACTTACAAGTCAGTAAAGCACCAGGTTTGTCTGGTGAGAGAAAATCAAGTGCAGCGAAGACTAAATAAACAAATTTTGAAAAAAAAATTAAAAATAAACAAAACTATCTACCTAATGTGATTAAAAATGTCATTGCAATTTGAACACCATTACCAACAAGAGTCGACAAAAGTATACCTTTTTGTGGTGGACGAAATACATCACCATCAATTCTATCATTTGAAAAGAAAAATAGAATAAAAACAAAAATAACATAAGATTTGATAAAGAATAGATCAACATTAAATCTTCTTTGAATAAACTATAACTGTAACTAATCTGAACATTTATTTTCGATATCTTAATGATTAGATCTTCATATCACTAATCAAAATCTTGAAGAACTTTTGATTATGAGCTGTTTATAAACAAGAGATTCTTGAAAATTCAACAAAAAGAGTTTGAAACGAAATTTTACTCATTAACTGATGTCATTTTTCTTATTGAAATTCGAAAGTAATTTTGAAGATGTAGATATTATCTCTTTATTATTTGTATTCAGCGACTAACATACCTTAAATTGTTCATATTAGATCTTCTTATTTACTTGCGACATACATTTAATACCTGATCGTTTTACTAAAAGATTTTCGAACATTTTAATAACCATGAGATCTACATATAGACAAAGTGTTAGCTTTAAATTTTTTTGTTTCTATTTCTGAGAAGTTCTTTGCTGAATGTTGAAAATCGATATAAAAGATGATAAGTAGTCTGAATTGAAAGTATATAGTTAAGTGAAGTATCAGTGCAAAAAGTCAGTAGTTTGAAAGATAATAAATCTACGAATCTTCGTATTCGAAATATTCCACTATACAGAAAGTACATAACCTCAACAATAATGTCAAAAAACTGACTTGTATGCAATACACGATCAAAATAACGACATGAAATAGATAAATCCTTACAGTTTCCATCCAAATTGTTCTTTTGCACTACCCTATATAAAAATAAAACAATCATAAACATAGACTTAATTTCTTCAACTTACAGTACCAACTATTCGACTATAACGCGAATTATCTTTACATAATGTACGTAAAAGAATGGTAGCAATCATACCCGAAAGAAATAAGACAATCACAAGCGAATTTAAAATTGAAAACCATTGAATACGTGTTTGTGGTAATGATTTAAGTATATAATCCCATCGACTAGCCCAACGTATTTCATTATTTTTTATAAATTTTACACTGTATGTAAATGGAATTTCAATATCTTTACTTGTCGATTGAAACATAACTGGTCCAGTAGTACGATCACATCTATTTGAATTGAGACTAAGAAATAAAATTTATAAATAGATAAGATGACTAATTTTATTCAACAAACCTATTGACTTGTATTTTCGCTGAAATAATTCGACTACTATCTTCGCCAAATGTACTTCTCCATGTTTCACCTTTAAAAAAAATCAACTAATCAAAATATAATAGTTATTATGATTATCTTACCTAGTTCATTATGATAAGTTATTTCAAAATCCAAATGATTAAATATATAAAATGTATCATTTTTTCCATCACGAATATTACACGATTTTTTTGTTTGACCACTTTTACTTACATAACAGCCAATTGGAAAATTACGAGAACAAAATTCTAGATTTTCAGTATTTTTATAACATAATGTAATAGGCATATTATCAAGTATCCAGTATTGTTGATAATTTAAAATTATTCCTTTCATTAAACGTTTAAGCATTTCTTGTTGATTAGAATCAGTTGATGTAAATTTCTTTGTACACACATAACGACAGTTATAATTTTTAAGAAAATAAAACTAGAAAAAAGAAATTCGATTGATTTAAATATAGAGTTGAATTGATTACTGACTTTATATGGTGATGGTTGAATTCGTTCACCAATAAGAACTTGACCAAGATTTTTAATTGGTGATGGTTCATCATTAACAGTACAGAAAGGAAAACTAATTTTTTTTCAGAATTCAATAAAAGAAAAAAAAATGATATATTAACTCACTAAGAATATTCATATGATAATACAGATTCAAGTGAATTGAGACGATTGACATATACTTCAAGTTGAGTCTAAAATTATATTTTATAACAAATAAGATTTTTCTTCGTTTTAACAAACTTTGCATTTTAATCCTGGCAATGGAAATCGACAGTATTCATTAGGTGCCAATCCTGGTAGATTAAATGCATTGATTGATGATGATAATAATAGAATTAATAAAAAGAAATTTGAATTTCTTATCGCCATATTAATAATATTTTCCTTTGAATTGAAGAAAATAATTCATAAATATATTTTGTTTTTGATAAATTATTTTGAAAAAAAAAATAGAAGACTATTGACAAAATGAGTGTAAAGACGAAAAAAAAATTAAATTCAAAGCATTTCTCAAGAAAAAAAAATCAACTCGCTTTGTCCTCTCTTTTTCTCTTTCAACTATAAAAAATTAAGATACGTCAAGAGTATTATACTACGTTTGTTTTACTGAAATGTCTAAAATCGGTTATCCATTGATACTTGATATGTCTAACTGAGACATGGTGAAAAGGAAGTAAAAGCGCATTGAAAAAAAAAGCAAAGAATAAGAGGAATGGAAAAAAAAAGAATCCAACAGAAGCAAGGTAAATATACTCTATTGCGTATATATTGCATCTGATAGGCGTGTTTTTTTCTCATCTCTTTTTATTAATGAAAACTATAAAAAAAACACTGTTAGAAGAGCATTTTTTTCGACTTATATTTAATTGAGCAATAATTATGTTGAATAAGCAGTAGTTCATTTTAATAAAAAAATAAGTTGTATATGAAAAGGACAATATGGATTCGTTTATTTACACAAGTAGGTATTTTTTTTAGTTTTATGAAATAGAATACATAATTTATGCAAATAGCTCAATCTTAAAGCGTAGCGCAATATGGGTGTAGGTGTAGATGGGTTCAGTTGACATAGGTGTTGTATATCAGTATTTTTTTCACCCATACCGACACCTACCTTGTAGTTTTTCTATTTTTTGTTGCTAAAATATGAAGTTACTACTGCTATTTAATGAGTTATTTATTATTCATTTAATATTATAAAATTGCTCAAAAATTATTGCTAAACTGTATTTGAATTATTGGTCATTTCAATATTTTTATTGTTCAAATAAATACAAGCCATTTTTTTTCAATGTGCTTCCGCTATTTTTTTTGCTAAAGTTATGCACAACTGATCTGTAGAATAAAAAATATATAAAAAGGACTAACATCCACTGATACGTCTATTCAAGCCACCAATCATTGAAAAGCTCATGTGACACTGTCAACATAATAGATTTTTTTTTCCCATAACTATATAATATTGATCAGCGACGTAGCCAAGGGATGGGTCAATGGGCAATTGCTCATTTCATTTGGAAATTTGCCCATTGAAATTTTACTTTTTCAGAATGGTTTATTTATTTTTGAATTAGATAGTAACTATTTTTTTCTTCTGTCTGAATCACACATGCACTTTTTGCTTGTGCTTTCTGTAAATAATTAAGAAAAGAAGAAGGAAAGAATTGCTCCTAATTCCCTAGACTGAAAGGATAGGGTCTAGAAACCGAAATTCACATATGGTAACTATGGTCGTCAAAATAATATATATTTCGAATAGCGCCAAAAGGTAATAACATTTTTTTTCTATTATCGAATATTGAAAAAATCAAAACGAAGAACGAATCTGCAAGTTCTTACTATTTAGTTCTTTTATTACTATACAAGTTGTAATAATAACAATTAATTGTACTGAATGTTTCTTATAATTTAATTGTGATATTACGGAATAATAAACGATGAAAAATTTAACGATCATCATTTTTTTTTCTGCGAAATTAAGAAATATAATTTTTATTTTTGTTTTTGCTTTTATTTATTCGGCTTGATAAAATGTAATTTTGGAAAAAAAAAACTGCAATAATTAATAAATTGTCAATGAAAAACAACGTACATAATAACAATGACAATATTGTTGAATAATTAATGTTTAAATATTTTGAACATTAAATAAAATTAGAAATCGAAGAGACCAAGTGTTTCTTTAAAATGTATCACAATTCATATAAGGCTAATGTTTAACGTACTCAGTTGTATAAATGCTGTTAGATAATTAAAGAAAATTAGTTTATTAATAAATTACAATGTTTCAACTAAATCTGAAGATATAATTACGATAAAAAAATTTTTTTTTTTAAAGTAATCTGATACAATTTTGTTGAGTAGAAGTAACGCTAATATAAATTGATTAGTTATCAAAAAAAAGTTCTTATTCCTTTCCTTATAATTACGATTTGAAAAATGAATGACAATACAAATACAGAAAATTCATCGATTGAACCCAATTTATTTAGCAGCTTAGAACAAAAATTGTTAGACCTAGAAATTATCAGGAGTATGTATAGAGTAACCTGAGAAGATGAAAAATATGAATAAATTGTTAATATTTCTAGATTAATCAAGAAAAAAAAAGAAATTTTCCTTGATTTCATTATCGGAAAAGGATTAATCATACATGTCACGATAGTATTTCATAAGTTGATGTTAAAGTAATGTTTGTTTTCAAAAAAAGGATCGGAAACTGGACGAGCCCGCACCTCTTCCATCTACATGCAACTATATCTGTATCGCTTTCTGTCAGTCTAGGGCCGAGTGAATTGATTCTCGATGAACGTTGCTTGTATTTTAACCAGGACTGCCAGATGAAAAACTTGAAAATCAGAAAAAAATCAGAATTTTTTCTTCGAAATTATAAACTAATCAGAAAAAGTAACTTTTTGCAAACCAAGGGCTATCATGTTGACATACTTGCACCAAAATGCTTCACTTTTTTTGTTTATCGACTGATATTTTATTTCCGAAAGTATTTCATAGTACAGAACAACAACACAACCATATATAGCTGAGAGTAAAAGATCGTGTATTGTAAGCTAAGGAGATTGATCAAAGTCAGATCAAATGAATGCTCACCTGTCAAACCAACTAATTAAAAATATGAGCTGCCAATAGCATACACAGACCGAGATATTCCAGTTTCAAGAAATTTACAGTTTGTCATGCGCCCACACTACGAAATTTCATCAACATTTTGTTTTCTTTTTTCGTCATGGTTGGATGAAGCAAGACCATTTACATAAGAAAAAAACAGTATCACGCATATTAAAAAGCAAATTCTATGAAGTCTAAAACAACATTTTCTTAATTATAAGATTAATAAACAAAAAATTCTAATTATTGTCAAATTGTTTTTGAATGTGTATGATATTGCTTCTTCTTATGTAAATAGTCGTGTTCTATCCAATCATGACGAAAAAAGAAAACTAAAGGTTGACAAAATTTTATAGTGTGGGCACATGACAAACTGTAAATATCTTAAGATTTAAACGTCTCGATCTGTGTATTATCCATTTCAAAATAAAGTGGACTCGGTTGTTTGTTTGATAACTCTACAACGCTGATAGCTATCGAATCGCAGTTTTGACCGTTAGACAGAGGGTGGCTAGAGTACCTTTATAGCTGAGAGTCAATGAGCTTTGAAAGTTTTACAGAAGTTGTACAAGTGCTTTTTTATAAAACTCTGACTGGCTGTTTTGATTACATACATTATTAATTTCAATTTAGCCAACCTGTAGCCGAGCATCTGCTCTATAAACGCTGAGAATTTCAGACTTCTCTCATATGTCTATGACATACAAGGAAAAATCTCCTGCAATCGAATGATGCTATATTAAGGGAGTGAGTGTGGGTATGGGTGTGAGTGGGTGTGGGTGGGTGTGGGGTGTGGGTGTGAGGTTTGGGTGTGGGTGTGAGCATAGATAAGTCCTTTACCCACACTCTCGTTCATGTGAGAGTATTCCAGGGCTTTCTAATAAGTTAAAGAGTAAGTCGGTGATTTTTGAACGTTCTATTCTTTTAAATTAGAATAGTCTTGCAAGTGTTCTATTAGTTTTTAGATCACCGTCTCGCTCATATAAGTAGTTGACTGTTTTCATTGAGAATACTCTTAGGTGGTGATGTTACATACACATCGTTCCTTCCTTTCTGCTATTACTATGCCATCATCGTATGTACGTATTCCATCTATATCTTTTTTTGGTTCTGCGATGATGCGTGGATGTGTCTACCTTCTCTCTAGCATATTCAGGTTCTTCTGGTACTGCGACTCAAATACAGCATATCCGTTGAACGGTGAAGTTTATCTGGGACGTCAACCTGAAGCAGCGATTGTAGCTAAAGATACAAATCGTATTCATAACCTGGTGAAACGACTGGTGCATCCTTGGATCAACACCGGACGGCCTATCACTACGGATAACTATTTTACTAGTGCAAAGTTAGCAGAGGATCTTCAAGGTGTTCAAACAACTCTTGTTGAAACCCTTCGACGAAATAAGAAGAAGATTCCAGGGAAACTGCAGGCTGATACCCCTCGTTCTGAACAATCATCAATATTCTGTTTTGATCGACCACTAACATTAGTTAGCTATGTACCTAAAAAAGCATATGCTGTGATTTTATTGTTATCTCTTTATCATGACCAGACGATAGTTGATGAAAAAAAGAAGAAACCAAAGATTATTTTATATTACAATACTACGAAAGGTGGTGTTGATCGAATGGACAAGATGGTTCAAACATATTCTTGTAAACGGAAAATAAAATGATGGCCAATGACTTTCTTTTTCAACATACTTGGTGTCGGCGCTCTTGCTAATTTCGTAGTATGGACGACTAAGAATGCGCAATGGAATTAGGCTATGATCTTATTCAATCTCATTTGGATTGACGACGACATCAGTCACAAGCACTTCAAAAGAACGTTCGAATAGCTGCTATACAAACAGTTGAACTAACCATTAATACTTTACAACCTAATACAGTGTCAACAACTACTGTCAAGCAGCGTTGCCAACTTTGTCCACGAGAGCGCGATCGAAAGTTCATCACTCACTGTTCAAGTTGTAATATCCCCTGTTGTCCAGATCTTCATAAAGTCATTTGTACTACGTGTTGCGAGACGTTTTTAAAATAAGAACGGACTGTAAGGGAGTTTTGGGGAAATAAAAGATAAAACAACTAAATATAATTTCTTTGCTATCAGGTATTGTATCTATGTTATCAGCTTGGAGTCTACACGGACCCCAGGTTGGCAACAAGTGGTAGTCCTATAAGTGGGCGTATCAGGGTTAAAAATGATATCTGACATATCTAGTTTGAAATTTGCGTTTGAA